TTGAGAGGCAAGGAGGCATTAAGCTGGCACTTAATCAAATATTAATCTACCTAATCCTATACCTTTTGGAAAGATCTTTAATACAATGTTGTCCTTGGATTTTCTAATTTCATTTCTGGGAATTTATTCTGAGAAAGTAATCCAGAACATGATTCTTTTACATAAAGATATATAGGCTCCAAGTATAATGCATCACAGAAAACACAAACCAACCAACCAACAGATTGTAACAGGTATATAAAATGCCCTCTGGTCACTGGGCTCCCAGGAAGACAATTTTTTTAAGTTCCTGTCATGTTGAGATGCTATTAAGACCTCACACTTATTGAGAAACTACAATAAAGCTAATTAAAGCAGCATGTCGACTTCAGTCACCAAAATAGAAGTCACAAAAAAGTACCCATCTTATGATCTTTAACATTCTATTCCCACTTAAATTTTTTTCCCTGATGCTAATTCTTTTACCTTTATTTCATATTTCTTAAAATTTTCTCTGTAATTTCTAAATTGACTACGTACTCTCAGATTCCCAAGATCTTGATTTTCTATATGAACAAAAATACTCAACCACATGAACACAGTCATGCGCCATGTAACAACACTCCAGACAATCATGGGCCAACACTGTAAAGCTGAAAAGCTCCTATTGCCCAGTGACATACAGCTGACATAATGTCATACTGCAATGAAACACTCATGGATGTGTGGGGATGCTGGTGTAAAGAAACCTACTGCACTGCCAGGTGTACCAAAGTGTAATATATGCAATTTCATACAGTACATAATATTTGATAATGATAAAGAAAACTGCCATCAGTTTATGTATTTACTGTACTAGACCTTTTATCATAGGTTAGGGTGTCCTCTTACTTATTAACAAAAGGTTTACTGTACATCAGAATGCTGTCACATCAGCAGCCTCAAGTATCTCACATACAATCTCATACACAATGTCTTTACTACATCATGTTCTTTTGTGGTTGATTTGTTCTCATGTGGTTTTGTTCAATGGCCCTAAAAGCAATAGGTTATATCATACATACATGAAACATGAACACACACACCACATAGCCTAGATGTCTGCGTGACAAAATCACCAAAGATAGTTGTCTCAGAATATGACCCCACTGTTAAGTAAAGGACTGTTCGGAAATCATCCCTGCACACCTACATTGTCTTTATCATCCATGTCAATGCCAAGACTACGCATCTCATTCTCCAAATCTGTCCGCTGAACCTGAAAAGGGAAGGAAAAAAAAAGATAAAGATACTTTGTTTTTTTGTTTTGTTTTTTTGAGACAGGGTCTCACTATTAAACCCAGGCTGGCCTGGAACTCACGATCTTTCTGCTTCAGCCTCCCAAATGCTGAGATTACAGAGGTGTTACCATGCCTGGTTCAAGATACTTGTTTTAAGCAAAATTACTCTGATAAATGTTAAAAAAACAACAAAAAATCCCAAAAGAAAATGTACATGTGAAACTATCATAAATATTTATTTTTTGGTTTTCACCCACAGTTTCTGCCTATAATCCTCACAGCACTGTTGCTTCCTAAGTAACTAGAACAATGAAGTTAAGGTATCTGGCATTTAGACCTTGGTTCCTGAGACAGCTTCAGAGGTAAAGCAGTCTTTTGTTATAAATGAGGCGATTCAGGCTTCAGAAAGCAAAACTTCTCTTTCTGACCTCCTCCTCCCCTCTTTTATAACTATTCCTTTTTCTCTTCAAGGAAACTATTATTTCTCTTCCCCAAAGCAGGCTGTACAAGTTAAAAACATGCTCTAAGCATATTACTGACATATGCCTATAACCCCAGTACTTGGAAGGCAGAAGCAGGAAGACTGTGAGTTCAAGGCCAGCCTGGGCTACATAGGAAACTCTTGTCTCAAAAAACAAATCAAAAAGTTCCAGTCTTCTCTTCCCATGACTGTGTGTTTTGGAGCTTGACATCAAGAAATTTTCTACCTACCACCTGACAGTAGATCCTTACTCCCCATTTCAGAGGGAGTCCTGCTCTATACACTGGAGGAAGGAATGCTACACAAAAAGGCCAGAAAGAACCTAAAGAGACAGGATCAGTCTATTAGGACTGCAGCAGACCCTCTTGCCCAAGCTCTACTTATGTAGAGTTGGAGAGCTTCTGGACAACTGAACACATGAAGGATTTTAAGAAAGAGAACAATGGGGCTGTCAGAGTGACTCAAATGGTAAGAGCACCTACCTAGCAAGCACGGGGCCAAGTTCAAACCCCAGTGCTGCCGAAAAATAAATAAAATAAAATAAAAAAAGCTGTTGCACTTGGGACCCTTCCAAATCTCACCCTATTTGTCTCTTCGCTTAGCTGTTTATCTGTATCCCTTAAAATATACTTTGTAATAAACTGGCAAGTGTTAAGTATCTAGCAAATGTAGTGTTTCCAAGTTCTGTGAGCCACTCTAACAAATTAATCAAACTCAAAGAAGCAGAATGACTTTGTAGCTGGTAAGCTGGTAAGCCAGGAGTCTGAGGCCCAGACTTGTGACTGCTGTCTGAAGTAGAGGCACTCTGGTGCCTTCAATCTGAGCCTTCAATCTGTGGTTTTACACTACCTCCAGGGAGATGGTGTCAGAACTGAATTCAATTAGAGGACACCTAGCAGTGTCTCCTACAGCACTGTTTGCTCACTGATGGAGAGAACAACCTCCCCCCACCCCCGCAACACACACATCCTGGAGTGACAAAAGTAATCTATAACACACTTGTAAGATGTATTTACTTGGGAACACTTTCATATTTTAGACAGTTCAATTAAATTCCTTGAAAATGAAACAATTACTGAGCAACTGCTATATGGAAGCCACAATGCACCTTCTTTGTCTTTTTATTCCTTACAACAACCCAATGGATAAAAGAGTGACTATCTTCATGGTACAGATGAGACCATTACAGCTGAGGTTAATGACATGCCTTAAGTCAGACTTGGGGCACCAAGTTCTTCCTTTCCAGAGACTACTGAGCACCACAAAGAGAAACAGAAAAATGTGCAAATCTGACAACAACCAGTCATCTACCACATGAATGACTCCATGTATTTTGAAATGTCTTGACTAATATCTGAGGGGCGTTTATAAAGGTAAATTATTTTTCTTTCTCTCTCGTTACATTTTAACTATCTGTACCATGTCTTCCTTCTTTGGGAACCTGCCTCTCCTTACTGCCAACTTCCTGTAGTCCAGGGAGGCAATCTACCACATGACCCAGGCCTGACCCATCACCCAGACCAGAGCATGAAGCAAGAGAGTAACATCCCAATAAAGATGGAGATGAGAAGTGGAAAGAATCCTGCCATTAACTGACAGATTGACACCTAAGGTGTGAGTGTCCCCATGCTCACCACTCATAGGAGCCAATAAATTGATTTTTGGATTTGAAGTTAAGACTAGGTTAGGTTTCTGCAAACTGCAAAAGATTACTGGTTCTGATTAATGCAGAAATGGAATAATAATAAAATGTTAACCAATGGCTTTAAGCTTGTATGAATCATAAATTATAATTTTAACTTCCACAACTACAAAACAATTGGATTTATAATAGTGCTTATTTAACCTGAAGTCACCAAGAAAGGACACAGTACTCCAAATATAAAAGCTCAGGGAAAACCATCTTGCAGGTCAATAAACACCAATGAATCAAAGCATGTGCAATATTATAGCCACAAATGGGTTAAAAAAGTAAGGGCTGGTAGAAAGACTAAAGTGGTAGAGCACCTGCCTAACAAATGGGCATAAAGTTGTATTTAGTAATTATTTACACAAGAAACCAATATGCAACAAATAGGTCCTGCCTCTCTAGAATGACATGAAATATACCTTCTTAGCAGTTCGAGGTATCCTGGGTCCTTGTGTATTCTTTTCTTTAGATTGCAGAATTTTCAACTTCTTTTTTTCTCTAATCTGTTTTGCCAGCTGTCGGATCTCCACCATTTCCTCATCTTCACTTTCAGACTCGCTGTCATATTCCCCAGCAGCTGTTCTGAGCTCTTCTTCCTTTTCTAACTCTTCCAGTTTCTTTAAAAAAAACAGTCGGAGTTCAACAAAATTAGCTTAGAACAACTTCTAAATAGATATGGCAATGTGTTTATGGCATGTTTCCCCTAAGTCTTTGATCTTTGATGATACAGTAATGCACAGCTTATTCAGAGAAAAGAGGTTCTACAAAGAAATTGGAGACACTACGAACACTCACTGAGAGCAAGTTGGTAGTTTTTTGTGTCATGTCCTTAAAATGAACTTCAAGGATAAAAATGTGCAGAAGCCACTCCCCTAATTCTCCAACTCTCCAGAAGACACATGAAATAAATTTGTACAATATCCCATTTACCCACCCTAATTCCTACAGACAATTTCATTGGTTAGAGTTAATAAGATGAAAATCAAATTTAAAAAGTATAAGCATGAACTCAAGTTTTCTTGGTAATATGGTGCCACCTGCTGCACCAGAAGGAAACATGGACAAGAGGTCTGAGAAAAAGCAAAAAAATGTATAAAACGCTGCTGATGACAGGATTGCAACAGGACAGATACAGTCCATTACAGTCTAGTGTAATGCTCCCCTCTCCAAAAGAGCCAAGATACCCCCAGTACCAGGCGAGACAGAGAAGGCAGGGTCACCAGGAGAGTGGTTATGTAGAATGGAAGCGGAGGGATGCTTTAGGGTGGGGGGGTGCAGGTAGAGAATGAAGGGAAAAAAAGGTTAGCAAAAAGTTGTGGCTGTATCTTCCAGCAGTCATAAAAAAAAAAACACCTACAGATTTAAAAGTGAAAAGTGACAGACCTTCATGATAGCAGGATCAATATAATCAGCGACATTATGGCCTTCCCAGATCTCTGGTATCTTATCATACTTCTCAGACGAATTCATTAAATCCCAATATTCTAAAGTTAAAAAAAAAAGAAGGTACTATATGCCCAGAATGAATTATAACTTACACCAAGTCATATCCCCATATAAAATGTTATTGCTAACGAGATAAGCACTGGCCAGTGTTTACACGCTCAACATTCACACCCTGTGAAAACTGGAAGCAAAAGAAAACGACCTGGAAGATGTTTCACAGAGCTCTATCAACATGCAACTTTTATCTCCAAGAAATTAAAACCTAAAAGATATGCTAAAAGACTTTTACTCATTAAAGTACTTTCTTGCTTTTCTAAAACATTTCACATATATCTGGCATTTCAGATACCTATTACATTCTAGTCTTACTTTGAAGATCCAAAATATAATCATCTCCCATTTCCAGTTCAAGATCTCGTTCCTGCGATGGGAAAAAGAAAATTATAATCAGCTTTATTTCACCTTTTAAGTTCAAAAACACTCAGTCCTCTCCTTGCCAAAGTGAAATAATCTCTTCTCCAATCCTTTCTGTATCTATGGGGTTCAATTTCTATTTCTAGTAGGAGAGCTATTTTTGACCATCGGGTGGTCTACATATTTTATGTATTTGATTTACCTTATTTATTGTAATCTACTATCAACTGAAGAGCAGCACAAGAGCAGACTTTGGTCATGGATTCACTGCTATGTTCTGGAACCTACAGGGCTGGCTCCTGGACACACACACATTATGTCTGATGCTCCAGGCCCGTCACTGGGGCACACATAACCATTTTGCTCCCCTCTCCAAAAGAAACCTAGGCTGAGAGTCAGCAACGCACCCTTTTCTTCTTGGGCTCCTCAATTTCCATCCTCTTCCTACGTGCCACCACTCCTTCTGGAATGAAAGGAGGCCTTTCCTAAGAAGACATTAAAAGTATTTACAAGAAATGCCTGGCTGAATGTGAAAGAAACTTAAAAGAAATTAAAAAAGGAGAAGCAAATTCTCTGTCTGAGAGAGAACTAGATTCATTTAGAAAAAATAATTAGGTAAGGGAGGAAGCGGGGGGAAGGAGGGAGAAATGACCTAAACATTGTATACACATATGAAGAAGAAAAAAAAGAGAAAAAAGAAAAAATAATCAACATTACTGAGAAAATTATGTAAGAAAGAAGAGGTAAGAGATCAACCACTTGACAAGAAACTCAGATAAAAACCCAAGTATGTATGAGAATGCAATGGAAAGATATTCAATAATCAGTTCTGAGACAAATAACTATCACTGAAAACAAAGCTGGCAGCTACCTGCACCTCCTTCAGGATAACAGAGATTCAAGACAGAAAAGACTTCTATCGAAAAAAGAGATAAACTAAAAAACAAAACAAAACAAAACCTCCTGGTGTTTACCCCAGGCTGCATTGTATTCTTACGCTGACTGTTTAGAAAGAGTAAACCTACCTCATAGGTCCTTTCCCTGTTCTGTATTGTGAATGGGAAGACATCAGGGGAGGGATATGGAAATATGGAGGAAAAAGACACTTTTGAAATATTTTTGGAATGCACGGTAGGCCTTTCTATGCAAGACACAAAATCCACCAGTGATAAAAGAAATACATGTTATGAACTTTAGGCCAGGTTCATGTTAGGCAAATACTCTACCACTTGAGCTATATTCCCAACCCTTTTGTTTTTATTTTGTTTTACAGGTCTTGCTAACTTTGCCTAGGCTGGCCTCCAATCACGTCCTCCTGTCTCAACCTCTTGAATACTAAGATTACCGGCATACACCACACCTGGCTACAATAGCTGTTATCTTACAGGCTCCTTCATCTTCTTACCTTATCGTCTCTTTTGTTTGGCACAGCTAAATGCAATCTGTTCAGCACTTCATTCACTTTATTTCCTTTCATTTTGGTTTCCACTCGATGAGCCAAAAGCCTATCACAAGCCTAATGAAGTATAAAAAAAAGGCAGAGTCACAAAGTCATACTCTGCCACACATTCTAAAGAAGAATCAAACCCCCATTCACCAACTTAGTTTGATTTGGAACTTACTATGTATTTTCCCTCAACAGGTAACTATTCTGAGACAGACCATATTCTTTAACGAAGACCAAGGGCCGACTAGAGGCAGAATCCTGAAGCAGCCCTGCCATGTCCCATGGGGGCCTCCTTCTGCACAGACTTGTGTGCTCTCTACCTGCCCTTCCTGCCCTAGATGTGCTCCCCTCTAGGCCTCTAGCAACTTGAGTAATTAGTCCCTTTCAGGTAAAAATAACATGCCGAGTAGAAAATAAAATAACACATGAAACCAACAGGACAGCTTCATCCAAGCTGTTCCTGCTTTTCAGACTACTTTTTTCTTCTGAACAGGTTCCATGACAGTACTTTCTTTTTTTACTATAATTGCTATGGAAATACCAGAAGGTCAAAAACACCACAGTAGCAACTTTAAGTTAATATTTTCTACTGTGGAAATTATAAAGTACATTCGCCTTCCCTATCCACAGGTCCTGAGTCCATAGACTCAAACAAAAAGTAGATCTAAACTATTTGAAGAATAAAATTACTAACCATGCAGACTTTTTCTTGTCAATATAGTATAGCAGCTATTTCCATACCATTTACAATTATTATAAATAACCGAAAAATGGTTTAAAGTATGTAGACAGAACGCATGTAGATTAGTAGTTGAAAACACTATGCCATTTCATATAAAGGACTTGAACATTTGCAGATTTTTGGCACCCACAGGGGCAAGGGAGGGGTGGTCTTGGAACCAATAACTGTCTCTTCAAATGCCATTATTCACATGGGTGGGGCAGTGCACAAGTGTTGTGTGGGTGTCTGGATCCATCTTACAGTGCACCACTCTTGTCTGGCTATGTGAGTATTCTGAATATTAGTAACTCCTAAAAAGAAAAGTACTTTTTTCCTCCTTAACTGGCTTTTCTATAGGAAAAGGAAACCAAGAAAAAGATTTCTGCCTGATTTAAGGAAGCACTGACCTCTGTTTTAACTTGAATAACACCTTCCTCAGTCAGGGTGCTGGTCTCTATTACAGGGAATCCTTCAGCCTGCAAATCTATAAATATTTTCTGGGAATTCAAAGGAAAAACAAAGCACGCATTATTGATTTCTACTTGCTTATGGAACAAATTATACTGTTCTGCAAACGGAAGTTGTAAATGTTAGTTGCTCAACATCTATGATTCGTTTTTAAGCCTTAAAGAACACCTACAAGTTATTTTTCCCTATGCACCTCTGCACTTAAAAGATAACAAACAGCTAGGAGCATCAAACCAGATTACAGCCAAGTAAAACCTGAAGCTCTATGAACACTCTGTAAGATCTCACTTTCCAAAGCAGAAACTCAGGCAAGGTCTCAATCATTTCTTTTTCTTTTTCCAAGACAGTACCTTGGCATGTATATAGCTCTGAACTATGTAGCACAGGATGGCTTTGAAATCATGAGCCTCCCACGTGTTGGTATTATACATGTGTACCACCATGCCCAGCCAAGATCAATTTTTTTTAAAAAACCGTTTTTAATGTTATTTCTTATTTAAAAAACAAAATCAGCCTCTATTGCCCAAGATAATTCCTTAAGAACAACCAAAGCTTTCATGAATCTAGCAACGTATGAACCACTAAGACTCTAAAAGAAGGGACTTGATTTGTGTCCTCTATTGAATGTCCATTTATACCTAACCATAAACATGACCCAATGATACTGAAGCCAATCATGATTGTGAACAACATCTATTACCATCACCACAGGGACCAAAGCAATAGTTTCAGAGAAAACCATGATAGAGGCACTAATTCTGCCACTTAGCAATGTGTGGCGCCGAGGGAAGCCAGTCCCTAACTCTACCCGTGCATTTGATAATAACTGTTGTGTTGTCATGGTGTGATGACAACAGACATGTTATAGGGCCAATAAATAAAGGGCAGCTCTAAAATAGAAGTGCTAATGAAGCAATGATATTGTTAATAGCATCCAATGTAGACTTGTTTCCCAATTTCATGGAATCTCAACAACAGAAGATGCAAACATTGTCTACACTAGACAAACAGAAAGGTGACCTCACTTTCCTAACACACAGCTGGCAAGTGGTGAAGCTGGGATCTGAAGCCTCAGCACCTGATCACAGCTTTTTTTTTTAACCTCACTTCTATCTTTCTGGCGCCACCTACTCTACCTTTTTCTCCATTCTCCAATATGTTTTAGACTAAAAAACTGAGATTATTTAAAAAATCCAAGGGTTCTTTCAAAGACAAATTAGTTGTCTGACATCAGTGTTCATATAATTAGTAATCTAAAGAATGCACTGAGAGTTGGCTGCCAGTGGCTCACGCCTATAATCCTAGCTACTCAAGGGGCAGAGATCAGGAGGATCACAGTTCAAAGTAAGCCTGGGCAAATAATTCGCAAGACCCTAACTTGAAAAAAACCCATCACAAAAAAAAAAAAGGGCTGGTGGAGTGGCTCAAGGTGTAGGCCAAGTTCAAATCCCAGTACCACAAAAAAAAAGAATGCATAGAGAAAAATCAATATGGTTTTTTATTTAGCCCAAGCCTCAGCCTCCCAAGTGCTGGGATTACAGGTCTGCAACACCAAACCTAGTCAGTATGGCTATTTTAGACAAGCTAATCCTTATCAAGTATTAAATGTCCAAATAGAACAAGAGACACTGAGAAAGAAACAATGTGATCCTCCTACTTCAGAACCTTATACTTTAACTCGGGACAATGAAGAATATTTCCAGAAGACACGGCCAAATAACATTTACCACTCAGATGTAGTGGTTCTCAGAACTTGAGCACACATCAGTCATCTGAAAGAACTGTTCAAGCTCAGACTGCTGCCACAGCTCAGGGCTTCTGACTCAAATTTACACTTCTGACAAGTTACCAGGCAAAGGTGATGAGATGCTGCTGGTCCACGACCGAACTACAGTAGTAGTGAGTGTCTTTCAAGGCATTTATCCTGAAAGCTGCCTGTTAAAAAGGGTTGCAGGGTCAAATTGGTTTGAAAAATTATGCCTACCAGAATTACCTGCCTGGTAGAGAACATTAGCAGACACTATAGTTCACAGTCCTGGAAAGCCCAGGCTTACAAGAGCTTATGGATCCTCGTTCTTTTTCGCTCAATCACTCACTTCCCAAACTCACTTACTACAGATCTGGCCTCTTCTTAGAAATAACATCTATGAATACCCAACCTAATGAGAAAGTTATTCTGGAAAACGCAGCTCCCATATACCTGATATCCTAAGGCCTGGCAGAGAAAAAGCAAAACTCCAAGCATCTAGCTTCCTCTAAGATACCAGCAAGAGCACAGTCCTTTCCTAAGTAATCATATTTTCCAAAGATTAAACATATCAAACACACACATTCCCATAGACCCAAGAATAGAACAGGAATCAGGAAACCTGTGTTTTAGGTTTTTATGTCATGTCACTAAACATTGTGGATATTATCTCAACCTGATCTAGCACTGCTATAACTTCTTCTAAACTTTGGCTATCTGTTAAGAGAATTCAAAATTAGTAACCAAAAAATATTTAAAATACTAAGGTGATTTACCTGATCCTCTTCAGAAAGTTCAGCTATTCGCTTCACATCGCATTTGTTTGCTACGACTATAAGAGGCTAGCAAGGAAGAGAAACAATTGTTACTTTTATACTGCAGAGTACTACAGTTCCCCTTATCTGTGGTTTTGCTTTCTGCAATTTCATTTACCAAGATCAACCACAGTTTGAAAATATTAAATGGAAACTTTCAGAAATAAATAATTCATAAATTTTAAATTGTGCAACATTCTGAGTGTATAATGAAATCTTATGTCTTCCTGCTTTGTTCCACCAGGATATGACTCATGCTTTGTCCAGCTTTTTCACTCTCAATTCTACCAGCCAGTCATTAAACAGCAGTTGCAGTCACAGGCACAGCGGTGCGTGTGCTCAAGTAACATATCTGGTTCAGTACAATCTGTGATCTCAGGCACCCACGGGGGAGGAAGGGGTCTTGGAACATATTCCAGCAGATAAGGGAGAGATACTTTGTAATTTACCTTGTTGATAAAGAGAGGTCTAATATTCTGGAAGAGCTCTAATTGCTCCTTCAACCCATGTCCACACTGCTCAGACAAATCCATCACATACAGGACCGCAGCTCGAAGGTGGGCCAGGGCTGTGATGGCCTGCATTTCGATGGTGTTCCGATCCTCCAAAGGATGATCCAAAATCCCTGGAGTATCTACTACCTAATGATCAGACTTCATTACTACAAAGTACATTTATTTGCAAACTTCTTGTCCAGTACATTCCAAAAGTCATCCTAACACAACCAAGCTAGACCTAATGAAACTAGTAAATAAAATGTAGGTGTATAAAACTGACCGTGATTAAAAAAAACAAAAAATACAGTAGTAAAAGAAAAGTATATATTCTTTACACACTAATAAGATGGTAGGGGGTTGCAGAACTCATTAAAGAGTTAGCCAATGTCCTTGAGAGAAATGACTCCTCTTTTCATTAGTGACTTCATAAAACTTGGAATAATTGATGAACTCTACCAGGTCTTAATTATTTTCTTCATCATTTATAAAGTTAATTTTGATTGTGGAAATAGATTGCTTCATGCTTTTAAACAGTATATGTCACTTCTAATGACAGAGTTAGGAATGATAGATACAAAGAATTATTCATTTCATAAGAGGCATCACTAAGGAAAAAAAAAATCACTAATACTGAACTAATGTAGAAGTCCCTACTGGTAGCTGGCTGTTTTTTGTGAATTATATAAATTTGAACTGCCCTTACTCACCACCCCAAAGCTTAGAGAAGTTTTCTTTATGGTGATGGAGAAATTTCAAATTGTTGGTGATGCCAGAGAATCTATTTTCCCCACCTGCTGAGACTTTCCCCTAGAGGATGCTGCTCACAGATGATGCTGTACTAACTGCATTATGGAATGGACATACACTGTTCTTTAGAGATCATCAAATTCCATGAAACTAAAACCCCAGATGTTTATTTTAGGTTAAAGATAAGACTCTCACCTGCCAACGCAGATACTTGTAATCCATGTGCCCGACAACAAAGACTTGGTGGTAAACGCATAGGGCTGAACATCCACATCTGCTCTTGTCACCTTGAAAAAAATAATACCCAAGATCACAGGAGTTCCATACCTCAGTTCCTCTCAAACAATGTACACTGGCACCTCACATTACCAAGACTAATTTTTGCCAGGTATGACGGTGCATACCTGTAGTTCCAGCTACTAGAGAGGATGAAGCAGGAGGATCACAATTTCAAGCCCAATTTGGGCAACTTAACAAGCCCCTGTCTCAAAATACTTTAAAAAAGAGTTGGGGATATTAGCTCAGTGGGAGAGCGCATGCCAAAAATGTGCAAGTACCATACACACATGGGCACACACACACAGAGGAATGGTTTCTGTATGAAAATTTAAATCTAGTTTCAGACAAGTTAAACCTCCATCCAAGAAGAACTTGAGTGTGCTTAGGTGTCAGGTCCTTCTAAAAACTAGGGTAATGTTTACTAAAGGATTAACCAGTCAGCTAAAAATATAACCAAATGCATCTTAAATCCCACTAAGTGAGACTATGATAGCATTTTGATCTAAGGTGCTCAGAGTATGTGATTTATGATAAAAAAAAAAAAACAGACCTACCTTATTAATAAAGCTGGATTTTCCAACATTTGGATACCCACACAAAAGCAGAGTCCTTGTATTTGGGTCAATAGTTGGCAAGCGAGACAAATGTTGTCGCACTATGAAACATTTAAATTAAAAAATTAAGAAACTTAAGACTTGCTTGAAACTTTCAATTTAGTTATGGTCCAGAACTATGGTTATATTGAAGTGATGAAGAAAATTAAGTATGAATGAAAAAAGGAGTAACTGTAGGTACTAGTGCACGTACTTGCGTATGTAATAGCATTTTCCCAATGTGGCTGCACCACGAATCCTATTTCTAGGCCTCCCACCCTGCTATTTTGATTCCGTTAAGTCCAAGGTGGGCCAAACACACATCTCAGAAGTGTCTGCATGATTCTCGCAATGTGAGATTATTAGACAACGGTGCACTATGAAACACACATGCCGTAACCTTCTGGCTTCAACATGTGCTATTCCCATTAATTGCCTCACTTCTAATACAAACACAGCTCCAGAATGGACCCACTGGGCTACCATGAGACTCCAACAGATCTGTAGGAAAGCAGTTGCAAAATACCCATGTATCATAAATCGTATCAAACAACATTTGTAAGATGTAAGAGGAACAAAACCAACAGGTCAAGATGATCTGTAATGTAAAACCATGCATTTAAAAAGTCAGGTGATTTTTTTCCATAAAATTTTCTATGGTAAAATTTGTCCTCTACACAAAAAAAGTTTTTAAAAATAAAAATGTCAGTAATGAGCCATTGGGATATGGCTCAAGTGTGGTAGAACACCTGCCTCACAAGGAAAAGGTCCTGAGTTCAAACACCGATACTGTCAAAAAAAAAAGTAACACTATGTCATTTTATTTTTATACTCTGTTCAGTGTTTTTCCAAGATTCATGTCTATGCCTTACCTATTAAATAACATAATCACACATTTTCTGAATAGTGGTATTAATTTGGAAGCATCAAACTGCCAAGCAGGCTGGGAGTATAGCTCAGTGGTAGAGCGCTTGCTAGCATGCTCAAGGCCGTGGGTTCAATCCCACTACCACCAAATAAAAAAACCCATGCTAAGCACTTTTTCAATAATAACTAGCCTCCTAGAATTTCGTATGGGTTAGGCTACAAAAAGTAATTTGATCCTGTCATATCTAGAACAAAAATAAATCTCCCAAGATTAAGTTCTCAACAAGAATCACACTTAAAAGAACATGTATATCAAGACCTTGTTCCAAATATTCCAAACTCTGCCTCTGTCTCTTGATAATAGTGCACATCCCCCCAAGGCAGCTCGCTTCAGTTGCTTGCAGCGGTAGAGAGAATCACCGTATTTCATAAGTCGCACATAATCTTTAGCAACACTTGAAAAAAACCAAAAATAGGTAAGTTCCTTTTTCTATTTTTGATAGTGACTTAACAGATACTATGATAAGAAAATACCTTACTTGTCCACTAAATTTTTGGCAATATTTATTTGTCCTAGAGCCAACTTGTAATGATCCTTATCATAGAGTATATTCATCAAATCAGCATAAAATGGATGGATGTCCTATAATAAACAAAACACACAGCAGTTATTTTGGTCCGACAATTTCTCATCCTTTACACAGCAGAGAATTTTTTTTCTTCTCTCCTCAAACCTGCAGCTTTGCCTCCCAGTTCCCTCCCCTGGCCAATGAGTTCTAAGAAAAGAGAAACAATGAACAGAGAGACTACAACTTTTAACATCTACTGGCCCTAACCTTCATCCCATTATAGTGACAGAGCTGTGTGGGAACCTAGCTCTCCCTATCCTACTCCTCAGGAACTTAAGTTCCAGAAATTCTTCCCGCCATCTGACTATTTTCATCAGCATGTAAATGTGCTATTTGCCAAATCTCTTTTTAAAAAAATTACAACTCCCTTGACCCCATAATCCTTCTGTCTTGTCAGCAAATGCTGGGAAGAGGCATTGTATCTTTTTTCCTCCCTCTCTTGAACCCACTCTCACCAGAACTTTGTGAGGTCATCAAGTTCACAAATAATTTCTGAGGTCATCAAGTTCACAAATAATTTCTGAACTGACAATTCTCATTTATTCTATCACTAGACCTTTTAGCAATGCAGGTGGGCTGGCCATTCATTGTTTTAAAAGCAATTGGTTCAGTTGACTTCCTCTCTAATGGCTACTCTTCCAAATTCTGTGTGGACTCTCCTCACAGCCCACTCCACAGAACTCTTTATATGCTCATTCTTGGATTGTGTGATCTCTGTACATCTTAAATACCATCTATACTTTAAAATTCTGTTTCTACATCTCCAGGCCTAACCTCCTGTGAGCTTTGGGATTTCTACTCAAGATGCATCACATAAATCTCCAAATTGCTTGTACAGACTGGACTCTTGACCTCCTCCCTCCTCAAAATGCTCCTGAACCTCCTGCAGCTTGGTGAGCAGATTGCTGCTGTCAAGGGGGGAAACGTCAACGTCCTCTTCATTCTTTCAAGAATATCTAATCTAGCTGGTAGAGTGGCTCAAAGTGGTAGAGTGTCTGGCTAGCATGCATGAGGCCCTGAGTTCAAACTCCAGTGCCACCAAAAGAAAAATCCAATCTAATATCCAAGCTACCTTACAAAGAACGGTAAAAGTCTGATGTTAATAATATTAAAATATACTGTGTGCTAAAATTAAGTTTTCCAACACCAAGTCAGTTTAGAATAATCTCATCCATAGTCTTCCCCCCACCCCCCCGGCCCCAGGTATTCTCTAGTACTTGGTCTTTCCCAAGAAATCACTCATTCATTCATTTGACGTCTACTAATTACCTAGAGACAGATATAAAATAAGAAAATAAGTGCCTGCTCTCTAGGGAAAAGGTTTACATTTTATATACTTCTGTTTTTAAAAGAAACATGCCAATGTTACTTTTTTAAATATAAAAATATTTCATATAAACCAACCTTTTCTCTGCCTTACCTACCTTCAGGGACCACTTTGGGGCAATGGTCAATTTAGGCTCTAAGACTATAATGATCTCCTATGCTTTGCAACCTCAACCTCGAAAATCCTACACAGACTCTCATAACACTGTTAACAGACTCTACCAAGCAGTTTCTGCTCTTGTAGAAAAGAACAACAATATAGATATGTGAATAGCAATATGGTGCAGGGGTTCAGGAGTTTTGGATTAATGCAGGAGTCACAGCTCCCTATGGTATCTCTTCTTGCCCATGAAGAAAAGTATCAGTGCCGAGCTGACCATCATCAGCTGATGTAGCAACAAGATGGCAAATCACAGACCTTAGACCACTGACTCTACTCAGTCCAAAGGAAAAAAAAAGCCCCAGATGGAGGAGATGAAGCAGATAAACAAATGGGCCATCAGAGGGCCTCAGTGCATAATCCATAGCTTTTATGTAAGTTTACGTTGGCTGTGGCAAGCCTACAAGGTTACAGAGATAGCTTCAGATCTCTTAGGATGGAGTTTGGCTGGGGCAAATGAAAACTATAAGGATTCAAAAAACCTGGGTTGTATTCCTGGTTTAGACACTGACATAGTAAAAGATGATGAATCAATTAATTTCTATTTCTCTTTCTGTCAAAAGAGCACACCAAGCTGACTAAACACTGAGTCTCTGAAGGCTTACATTTACATAACTATACATGTCCCCTAAAGTCACATACATCCAATTTGGGGAAATCCATTAGAATCTGTGAGAGTCTATCATGGTAATTCTGTTGAGTAAATTTGACTTTTCTCATATAAAAATGTCTAATGCGATGGATTTGGTAATGTTATGAATCACTGTTGGAGTCTTTCGTTGAGTCTTCGATAATGTGAGATCAATGAAGTCCTGCAAATTAAAAAACAAAAAAAACATTAAAATGAAACCTGTTGAAACTACTCCAGGAATGGGGGGGAAGATGGAGAAAGGTAAAAGATGGAGGGTGGGAATTCAACTATGATACATTGTAAGAACTTTTGTAAATGTCACAATGGACCAGTACAACAATAATAAAAAAAGATCAAGTCACAATTCAAACATCTACTTTCCAGTCACTTGCTTGAGACCTTCTTAAAACACTAATACCTAACAGCACTACATATTTTAAGCTACAAAATAAACTCTTTTTTAAACTAAGTCCTTTATGTACAACTATGTTACCTTTATTTTTGATAAGAAAAACCCAATGACTACTGAAAGAAATTTACCCCATACTTTCAAACACTAAGAATATTTGAAACATGACAATTCAGGCATGAATCAGGAAAAAAAAATATTGAAAAGAAATTTTCCTTCTATCTCAATATGTATAGCTTTGACTCTAAAAGGACATAAAATAATGGGTAAAACTAAAACACAAGTATTTAAAACTTCCTTTGAGTATGTGAGGCAACTATTTGAAGATTCAAAAGATTTTTGCCTACAGTCACCAGTGCAAAAAGCCCCTGCTTCTCTTCAAGGACTATATCCCATGCTTCCTCAAACCCTTGTACTTGATTTTCCTTTAAACACTTTCATTAATTCAACGACATTGATCACCTCCTTCAAAGAATGCTAGGATACTTGGTGCTGAAGATAAAATAATTAACAAATCTTACATATCCTTTAAGAAGCCAGTTCAAAAAGTTACCTAATTCAGAAAGATGGCTGAGAAAGTATCACGAGAACCAAAAATCCAAGACGTGATTCCTATATATGATTTCCTCACTAATACTTCAACCTAATTAGAGATGTACCAGAATGATTGTCAGAAAAAGGAAGAAGTGATAAATGGCAGCAAGAAAGAAGGAAACCAGTGTGATGAATGGAAAACACAAATTCTTGACAAAGCTTTCCAACGCAAGCTCAAGCCATCGGTGGGACGTTCCATAGACACTGAAAATATCCACACTGCATAATTCCTTCTCCGGGTTGGTCCTCCGTAGCAGTGCCCCAGGACTCCTCCAGAGAAACTCAAATTTCCAGATAAGCGCTTCCGCCTTCATAATCACAACTCACACAGAAGGTCTCCACGTAAGAACTTGACTTCTTAGCAATTCCAACACCCAAAGCTTTTTGGACTCTTACTTCACTAAATAACGCTACAGATTTAGCCCGGCCGTGTATGAAAACAACTGCGTTTCCCAGTCCAACAGCAAATTAAATTAAAAATAATTAATTAAATTAAAAAAAGGTGTTAAACCATGACAGCAAGGAGCTAAGAGGGAGAAACTCAGAATCCGAAGCAGGGGGGGGTCTAGGCTCATCACCGACCACCACACCCCTTGCACCACGGGGTCGCCACCACACACCCCACCCATCCACCTCGTCACCTGGATAGCCCCTTCAGGAGTCACACACGCTCGAGGAGACCTTTGGCCTCTGAAGGACCCTCGGGTCGGGAACCCATGGTCGGGGGAAGTGCTTTTACAATGTGGGACTGACGTCTGGGGGTCCCTGATCACGAGAGGACGCAGCCTAGCAAGTGGGGCCTGACCGTGGCTGCAGGGAAGGCCTAAGTGGCCCCCTGTGCAGGTCTCGGGATTAAAGGCGTGGTCCCTCTCTGGAAACCGGCCAAGTAAAAGCACAAGAGACAGGCAGCCCTCTCTCGGCCCCTTACCTTGGCGGACGTACCACCGTAATCTTCTTGAAATTATAGTGCGCCATGCCGGCTACGGGCTACACGAGGAGACACGGCGCGGTGAACCGGATTTCCGTCGCCAAGAGTAGGCGGGACTTCCGCCATCTGATGCACACTGGATTTCTGCTTTCCGGCGCGAGCAGCAATCGTCACTTCCGGAACGTCTTCTGGGCGCGGCACACGTCAGCCGCGGTGTTTTTCGCGTCGCACAGCGTCCCCGCCCGGCCGGGCGGTCCCCAGCCAAGGAATAGAGACTGCCAATTGAGCTGGTGTCGCCAGGGGCAGGACCGCCGGATTTGAGAGGTCGGAGAAACTAAATCCTTGTCAGTTAGAGGAAAGGGTTTGAACAGGCTACTCTGGAGAGGTCCTTTGGACACCCACCCAAAGCCTAGGGACCCGCGGGTCGTTCGCCGGTCCGAATTGCGCAGTGGTCAGAGCGAGTCATACAGGGGTGAGGGAGCCGCGGCGCGGGGCTTTGGCGTCACTTGGTGTCTGCTCTCAGCAACGCGTGCTGTGGTTTGGATGTTGGGGAAGCAGTGCAGTCTTACTAAAATAAGTAATTTGACCCAGAGCTGGTCTTCTCCAGGAGGATACCGCGCGCCCTGGCGGCCGTCTGCAGATGCAAGGCCTGCACAAGACCTGGGGACAATGGAGAAGCACTGCCCTGCACGGCTGCACTGACAGAACCCAGGGCGGGGACACAGGCGCCAGGTCTTCAACCAATACAGACTCACAATGGATGGGGCGCCTTCTTTCCTTTTTTCTATCAGTTTCATGTGGCCACCCATTTTCTTCTAATTCTTGCCTGTTGGTTCCGCCTCCTCCCTACTGAGACTGACTTTTAAACTGCGGAACCTATTTTTCTCCTGGATCTCTACATCCCTTCAGATGCTCTTTATTCCTGTTGCATCTATTAGTCTGGTTCTCTTCAATGTCTAGATTCAGTTTTCTTTGCTAACTTACTTTTCTCCTGCCTATCCTTGTTGTAGATGCTCATCAAGATTTTGTTCTCCACCTTTTGCTTTTCCTCTGGAGAGTCTCTTCTGAATGGTGGCTTCACAACTAACGCATAGATGACTGATGAAATAGGCTTTTCCAGCTTGATTTCCTTTCTCAAATCCAGTCTAACACTTTCAGTCTTTGTAGAATTCCTAACTACCTGTAGGAGTCCAGATAATGTCAAACTCTGCATATCTCAAAATCAAAAACCTTTTATCCTGTCTTCTGTAAATGAAGCCATTCCCACTGTGCCTTTGACTCTCACTGTGCACTGACTCCCACTGAGACTCCAAGAAGGGACTCAGAGGCAAGAGCAGGGCTGACCATCTACTATGGATGGTGAAGCAAAGGGGAATGGATAAGGTATGTAGAGCCAAAGATGAGGTCAAGAAACACAGCGATGGCCCAAAAAGATGTGTTAAATCCTAAGAGCAAGGACAGGAAGGAAAAGTTTAATCAGCAACTGGTTCATACAGTGCATTAGGAGAGCCAAGAGGGCAGTCGGGAGAGATAGTCCTTTTAAGTCCAGCTCAAGAAGAAAAAAGTGAATAAGAATGGAACACTTGGACACTTTCTACTATAATTTCCATTGCTAGTATGACCACTGTCTCAGTACCCCAGGGCCATATCCCATGCTAAATCTTGCCTAGGGCTATGAGTCAAGCAGCAATAAAATAAGTTGACCCCAGATTAACTCATTTAACTCCTAAAACAACCTTATTATGTAGGTGGAGATGCCAAGGTACAGCAAGGCTGGCAGTAAGCACACGGGTGCAATAGATAGCAGAGCAGGTTTAAACCTAAGTAGCTTGGCTCCTGGAAACATTTAACATCCTACCTTTCCTTCATTATGGGTGCCCCCTCAATTCTCAAATCTTTATTTTTTTTTCTGTTTCATTATTTTCACTGACAAATTTGATAAAACAGTAAGATTTAGGAAGTGTCATAGACCATGTGTTTTGTGCTGTATTCCCACACTGTTCAATGCTTTACTTACATATACACGTATTTCCTTTAATGCAGCCCTCACAGTGATTCTGTGAAGCTGGTCTTATTTCTCTCTCTTTTTTTTAAATTCTTTTATTATTCATATGTGCATACAAGGCTGGGGTCATTTCTCCCCCCTGCCCCCACCCCCTCCCTTACCACCCACTCCGCCACCTCCCTCTCCCCCCCGACCCCTCAATACCCAGCAGAAACTATTTTGCCCTTATCTCTAATTTTGTTGAAGACAGAGTATAAGCAATAATAGGAAGGAACAAGGGTTTTTGCAGGTTGAGATAAGGATAGCTATACAGGGAGTTGACTCACATTAATTTCCTATGTGTGTGTTTCCTTCTAGGTTAATTCTTTTTGATCTAACTTTTCTCTAGTTCCTGGTCCCCTTTTCCTATTGGCCTCAGTTGCTTTAAGGTATCTGCTTTAGTTTCTTGTGTTGAGGGCAAGCAAATGCTAGCTAATTTTTTAGGTGTCTTACCTATCCTCCCCCCTCCCTTGTGTGCTCTCGCTTTTATCATGTGCTCAAAGTCCAATCCCCTTGTTGTGTTTGCCCTTGATCTAATGTCCACATAAGAGGGAGAACATATGATTTTTGGTCTTTTGGGCCAGGCTAACCTCACTCAGAATGATGTTCTCCAATTCCATCCATTTACCAGCGAATGATAACATTTCGTTCTTCTTCATGGCTGCATAAAATTCCATTGTGTATAGATACCACATTTTCTTAATCCATTCGTCAGTGGTGGGCATCTTGGCTGTTTCCATAACTTGGCTGTGTGAATAGTGCTGCAATAAACATGGGTGTGCAGGTGCCTCTGGAGTAACCTGTGTCACAGTCTTTTGGGTATATCCCCAAGAGTGGTATTGCTGGATCAAATGGTAGATCATGTTAGCTTTTTAAGTAGCCTCCAAATTTTTTTCCAGAGTGGTTGTACTAGTTTACATTCCCACCAACAGTGTAAGAGGGTTCCTTTTTCCCCGCATCCTCGCCAACACCTGTTGTGTGGTGTTGCTGATGATGGCTATTCTAACAGGGGTGAGGTGGAATCTTAGTGTGGTTTTAATTTGCATTTCCTTTATTGCTAGAGATGGTGAGCATTTTTTCATGTTTTTTGGCCATTTGAATTTCTTCTTTTGAGAAAGTGAGAACGTCTGTTTAGTTCACTTGCCCCATTTCTTTATTTGGTCATTAGTTTTGGGAGAATTTAGTTTTTAAGTTCCCTATATATTCTGGTTATCAGTCCTTTGTCTGAGTATAGTGGCAAATATTTTCTCCCACTCTGTGGGTGTCTCTTCAGTTTAGAGACCATTTCTTTTGATGAACAGAAGCTTTTTAGTTTTATGAGGTCCCATTTATCTATGCTATCTTAGTTGCTGTGCTGCTGGGGTTCGTTGAGAAAGTTCTTACCTATACCTACTAACTCCAGAGTATTTCCTACTCTTTCCTGTATCAACTTTAGAGTTTGTGGTCTGATATTAAGATCCTTGATCCATTTTGAGTTAATATTGTTTGGGTGATATACATGGCTCTAGTTTCAGTTTTTTGCAGACTGCTAACCAGTTTTCCCAGCAGTTTTTGTTGAAGAGGCTACTATTTCTCCATTGTATATTTTTAGCGCCTTTGTCAAAGACAAGTTAGTTATAGTTGTGTGGCTTCATATCTGGGTCCTCTATTCTGTTCCAGTGGTCTTCATGTCTGTTTTTGTGCCAGTACCATGCTGTTTTATTGTTATTGCTTTGTAATATAGTTTGAAGTCAGGTATTGTGATACCTCCAGCATTGTTCTTTGACTGAGTATTGCCTTGGCTATTCGTGGCCTCTTGTGTTTCCATATAAATTTAACAGTAGATTTTTCAATCTCTTTAATGAATGTCATTGGAATTTTGATGGGAATTGCATTAAAACATGTAGATTACTTTTGGAAGTATAGACATTTTTACTATGTTGATTCTACCAATCCATGAGCATGGGAGATCTCTCCACTTTCTATAGCTTCCTCAATCTCTTTCTTCAGAAGTTATAGTTTTCCTTGTAGAGGTCTTTCACATCTTTGTTAGGTTACACCTAGGTATTTGATTTTTTTTGAGGCTATTGTAAATGGAATTTTTTCATACATTCTTTTTCAGTTTGCTCATTGTTAGTGTATAGAAATGCTAATGATTTTTCTATGTTGATTTTATATCCTGCTACCTTGCTATAGCTATTGATGATGTCTAGAAGCTTCTGAGTAGAGTTTTTTGGGTCTTAAGGTATAGGATCATGTCATCTGCAAATAGGGATATTTTGACAGTTTCTTTACCTATTTGTATTCCTTTTATTCCTTCTTCTTGCCTAATTGCTCTGGCTAGGAATTCCAGTACTATGTTGAATAGGAGTGGAGATAGTGGGCATCCTTGTCTGGTTCCTGATTTTAGAGGGAATGGTTTCAGTTTTTCTCCTAAGTATAATGCTGGCTGTAGGTTTGTCATATATAGCTTTTATAATGTTGAGGTACTTTCCTTCTATTCCTAGTTTTCTTAGAGCTTTTATCATGAAATGGTGTTGGATCTTATCAAAGGCTTTTTCTGCATCTATTGAGATGATCAAGTGGTTTTTGTCTTTGCTTCTGTTAATGTGGTTTATTACTTTATTGATTTTCTTGTTGTTGAACCACCCCTGCATCCTGGGATGAAGCCTACTTGGTCATGGTGAATAATCTTTTTGATGTGTTGTTGAATTGGTTTGCCATTATTTTGTTGAGGATTTTTGCATCAATGTTCATTAAGGAGATTGGCCTATAGTTCTCCTTTTTGGAGGTGTCTTTGCCTGGTTTTGGATAAGTGTAATACTCTTGTGTTTGCTTCCTTCCCTTTCTATTTCGTGGAACAGTTTAAGGAGGGTTGGTATCAGTTCTTCTTTAAAGGTCTGATAGAATTCAGCAGAGAATCCATCAGGTCCTGGACTTTTCTGTTTAGGGAGAATCTTGATTGCTGCTTCAATTTCATTTTGTGTTATAGATCTATTCAGGTGATTAATTTCCTCTTGGTTC